GCAGTGTTCAAGGCCAGGTTGAGCAACCTGGTCTAGTGCGAGGCATTCCTGCCCATGGCAGTGGGTTGGAACTGGGTGATTTTAAGGTCCCTTCCAACCCAAACCAATCTATCATTCTATAATTAGGTGTTCTGAAATCTTACAGATGATCATTGAAAAGTACTTTTGAGACCTCAGATGATTCAAGCACTATCTTGTTATTGATTGAAGCTTTAAGAAATATAGCCTAAAAAAGCCTTAAATTGCAACCCTGCTGTTTCTTGGCATCTCTTTGCTACCTCACTAGCAAGCTGTTTCCCAGTACATAAGCCCTCTTGGAAACTGACATAACCAACCTTGCCCTGATCAGGTAAACTCACTGTAAAAACATTCAGTTGTTTCTCAGGAAGCTGTTAACATGGGGCTTTTGGAAGATGTATTTTGTAGGGGGTTAGGCCACCATCTGCATTATGAACAGGTTTCAGGGAGTTGGTTGCTATAGCAACAGTCTACTTAAAGCATATTTCAGAGCAAAACCCAACTTTCCTTTAAGGGTGGGTAAAGGAAGGGAGATTTTGCTGGTATTTATCCAAGAGCCACAAATTGCAGCATCCTCTATTTAAATTACACAGACGGAAGAGCTGCTCCTTCCCCTCAGTGTTTTTCCTGCCGCTGAGAAGCCCCATTTGATGTTTGTGTAAAATAGCACCTTTCCTTATTTCAGAAATGCAGCTGCACCAGGGTTAATTAAGGCTAACACCCAATCACGTATTTCCTGAAAGTGCAGCTGAAAACAGAGGGCACAGTCTTCTGGAAAAGCTGGAAGTGTGAAAATTTCTGATGCAGTGTTTTTCCCAGCTGTCTCCTGCTGTAAATAAGGCTCCCTCCCCATCCTTACCAAAGTCAGAAGGAATTTGTTTTGTGACTGATTTCTCTGCAATCATCTCCCTGGTTGCATAGCACAGCCCAGAAGGCACCTTGGCTTGATTTTTTTTTTTTTTCCCCTTTCTTGTTCATAATTTGAAAAACATAACAAAGGGGTGAAGGGGGCACAAAAATCGTTAATCCTGAATGATTAATCCTGTGAACATCATGAGATTTAACAAGGCCAAGTGCAAGGTCCTGCACCTGGGTGGAGGCAGACCCAAGCACAAAGACTGGACAGAGAATGGACTAAGAGCAGCCCTGAGGAGAAGGACTTGGGGGTGTTGGTTGACGAGAAGCTCCCCATGACCCAGCTTCAGTGTGCGCTTGAGTCCAGAAACCTCCCATGTCCTCGGCTGCATCCCCAGAGTGTGAGCAGCAGGTCAAGGGAGGGGATTCTCCCCCATCTGCTGCACTCTGGGGAGACCCCCCCTGCAGTCCTGATCCAGCTCTGGGGGCAACAGCACAAGAGGGACATGGAGCTGAGGGAGCGAGACCAGAGGAGGCCACGGAGATGCTGTGAGGGCTGGAGCAGCTCTGCTCTGGAGCCAGGCTGAGAGACCTGGGCTGGTTCAGCCTGGAGAAGAGAAGGGTCCTGAAGGGGAGACCTTAAAGCAGCTACCAGTGCCTAAAGGGGCAGATAAGAAACCCGGAGAGGGGCTTTGGGCACGGGCCTGTAGTGACAGGACAAGGGGGGTGGCTTTAACCTGACAGAGGGGAGACTGAGATGAGACAGTAGGCAGAAATTCTTCCCTGCAAGGGTGCTGAGGCGCTGGCACAGGGTGCCCAGAGAAGCTGTGGCTGCCCCATCCCTGGCAGTGTTCAGGGCCATGTTGGACAGGGCTTGGAGCAACCTGCTCTAGTGGAAGGTGTCCCTGCCCGTGGCAGAGGTTGGAACTGGATGGGCTTTAGGGACCCTTCCAAGCCAAACCAGTGTGTTATTCTATTCTTGAGCTGAGGTTCTACTTTGCATTCAGCGTCGCTATGATTGTACTCCAGACTGGGCAAGATTGTCTCTTGCTTAAATGAAGCCAGCTCTGTTAACCGGATACTAGTCTTTTCACTTTCCCCTTCTTCCCACTCTTATGCCTTCCTGCCCATCAGAGTAAAACAGAAGTGAAGCAGGTTTTCTCCAGAATGGTAACAACTGATTCATCCTTTCATTTAAACAAGTGGGGTGATATTTGGCCCAATCTCATGCAGTTAATAAAAAAGTTTCTATAGCCAAAACCTGACTTGCGATTTTGTAATTCTCAGGCAAGACACTAAGCCTGTGAGTAAGCAGTTCATTTGTTTCCATTCTGCCTTGACTTCTCCCTATTTCTCATACAAAGGCCCTGTGTTTGCTTCCTGTGTCCTCTCCCTCCACCCATGCTGCTGTCCACAGAAACTGTTTTCCATTTTCTTCTTTCCCACCATTGCTTATCCCCCTGAAAATCTCAAACTCAAGCCTAAGGAGACTGGGAGCCAGCTTCTACTTTCAGGGTTAAATCTGGGAATTTTTCCCCTGGCTTCACATTTATGCTGGTGCAATGACAATGACAATTTAGCTTTCTGTACTCAACAGGGGAAAACTAGAGTCCTGATAAGAATGTTTCCATGGAAACCATCTTACTGCAATCGATGGTAAAGCAGCAAATCAATCTCTCCAGTTTTAAAATGAAACACATTTAACAACATTATAGTGCATCTGCCATTTAAGAGATCATCTGTGCTGATAGCTGTGTTGAAAAACCTTTCTCTAGCAAATAAGCTGGCAAGAACGTTTCTTACTCCTGACAGCATTCTGATTTTGGGGAGTAAGCATTGATGACAAAGTTCCATGAAGACAGTATGGTGAAACAGCCAAGTCCAGAAGCAACAGTGTTTAATGAAGGATAAAATAGTTTAATCTAACATTTACCCCACATATCTGGGCACATGGTGGCTAGCACTCAAATATATTAGCAGAGGCAGTGGCCTCTCTTGCACCATATGTGACAAACAGGATGTTTGTACTCTGATGCACTTGTACGAACAGGAGCCACATGTGTACGTGCATGTGTGTGGCTGGTGGGCTGTCAGATGAGATTTCAATAGCTGGTTCAGTGCAGGATGGATCTAGGCAACTCTCATTATAAAGGTGCATGTTTCAGAGCCAGAGGCATCTCCAGTGCAGAAAATGTGCTGGCTGTCTCTGCAATTCATTGGGTTTACATTTCATCATGTGAGACTTAAAGATGACCTCTTTGCTATGCTGTGGAAGGAGCATGGAAATGGATGGATTTCTTACCCCAGGCTTTGAATGTATTACTGTACTGTTTCCCTGCTGTGTGCAGAGGGATTCTGCCTTTATTTTGTTTACCTATTAAGGCATCTTTCTGTCCATTTCAAGAAATAATGCCATAGTTTATCAGACAATTGTCCATAAGCAGATGAGGCTCCATTTTGCTTTTCCTTTTTAGAAAATAGATATTGCAGCCTGCTTCCTTATACCTGGCAGATGGAGAAGTATCTCTCTGGGAGAAATCCAACCTTACTTAAGACAAAAGGAATGAAGCTGAACCAAGAGGAAATAAAAAGCATTACAGAAATTGCCTTGGCTGCAAGTAGCCCTTCATTTGGTGAGGATCAGATACACATTCCTCTGTCACTTTGCAGTATCTAGGCTGTATTTTCATAGAGTCATAGAAAAGTTAGGGTTGAAAGGACCTTAAGATTATCTAGTTCCAACCTGCCTGCCATGCTTTTGCTTCTGAATCTCAGTTCCTTAATAACAGCAATCACATATGCCATACTGTCTTCTTTTATCTACAGCTGCCCTAGCCATTATGGCAATCCCTCTTTGACTGACAGTTATCTGTTTTTTTCTGACCTGAGGGCAAGCTTATTGCAATTCATTCCTTTTAGTGCTATCACTGAAACACATCCAGAAGCTTCAACTGGTACATCATATGGCTGTTCTGCATTTGAATGAAGTGAGCGCATATTATCAGGAGCACACTTTACTCTGCCACAGCTACCAGTTAATGGAAGATGCACTTCAAATTCCTTTAAGTGGTAGAAATGGCTCAGTGGTCTGAAATGCTGTTGTTTGCACAGAGTGCTTTGTTCTACCTGTGTCCAGTTGCTATGACTTGCAGTGTTGTGTGTTTGTTTGGTCAGTTCCAGAGATTTTAACAGTCAGGAAAAGACATCCCAATGCACTGCTCTAGGACAGTGTTCCCTTGTTGACAATGATGTTTCCTACTAGAAAATATTCAGTTGAAAAGCACAGTTTTCTGCAGCTTGGTTTCTGCTGGTCCACAAATATATAAATCTAGGAGTCCTCCCCATATTCGGGGGATGGACTGCATTTGCTTCCTAAGTCCCAGCCTTTTAATAGCGTAGCATGAAAATTATGCCTTCCATTGCACTTCCTACAGGTAATTTCCATGTTCTACACAACTCTTCTGTATCCTCATGTAAGGATGCTATTTGCCAGTGGGGTTCCTTTACCATCAGGGTTCAAATTGCTGGTAAGCTCAGATATGAGGCCTTTGCAAATTTCTCCCTAACATGCCAGGGAAGGGAGAAACGGAAAAGGAGCTGGGACTGGCATTTCTTGTATCATTCTTCATCACAGTTGTGTGTCTGTATTCAGGAGAGTAGAGAAGCCCTGGAGACCAGACATAGCTCAGGGGAGCCCCGTACACTGGTTGGAGCAGAGAGGATCAGCTCATTTGTTACTGTGGTTACTGGGACATGCAGGGATGGGGTGACAAAACCTAGAGATTTTAATGGGTTCTGATATCAGCTTTTCCTCTGCCTTGTAATGAATGGGAAGAAAGTTGATCTTCCCAGCCCCTCCAGGTCAGGCCTGGGAGTCCATGGGAGGAGCAGGGGCCGCACTGGAGCTGCTTATGCAGCATTTGCTCTGAGGAAAAAAGCAGAACCTGCCTCTGGATCTGCCATTTCTCTCACAGCTCCTGAGTTTTTTCACAGTGAATCTGGGAGCGTTCTTCACATGTAAGCTCTTGGGTTTGCACGGTCATGTCCAGTGTAGGAGTGCTTCTCAGTGCTGTCTGTCTCCACGGATTTGGAGGTAAAACCATGTTTATCTATTGACTCTCTTACAGTACCACCCCCGTGATTAAGGAAAAGATCTTGAGTCACCTTCCAAAAGACGTAGATTTCCGGCAAACCTGTAGGCCATCTGTCACTGTGGGCAGGCAAGAAGAAACTGGGTAGGGAAACTCAGTCACATGGCAGTGTTTATATCTGTCACCACAGCCATTTCATTTAACCGGTTTAAATGCATTTTAATTATTTTCTAGGAAATTGTAAAAAGCAGCAAGCCTGTAGTGAACTGATTCCTGGAAAGGAGACCATTCCTCAAAGTCACTTTATGAGTATACATGTTCCATCTATATTATAAAATAGAGAAACCTCTATTGAATATCAGCAGATCCGTTTTGGAAAAACTTTAATTACCTTCTCTCTGGGACTCAGGTGACAGCATGTGAACTCCTATAATATAATATCAACTATAATACTGACATCACAGGTAATATCACTGCTGACACATGGTGGCATACAGCAGCTGCCATATCATACTCTGCACTGGAAAGTGCCCCAAGTCCAGGAATGTCTATTTGTGATATGTCTTTTACAGTATCAAGATACAGTATGCTACCACTTCTGACAGCCATGCAGCTATGACTCCCTTTTCTGTTTCTACCAGAAAGCAACTCCTCAGAATTAGAATCCCTTTGTGTTCCTGCCTTATGAAGGCAGAGATATTCTTAGCAGTACCCTGTAGATTAATATTCCCAACAAATTACAAATATCAGTGCAATGCATACATGGATCTGCTGTTCTAACCCTAAAAAGCTGTGCCTGGCACTGGTTTCTCACACACACTGGCTGTGACCACAAACCTTTCCTTGCCTGCACTGAATTTCTAATTTCAGAAATAATTATTAGGATGCTCAGGGGGCTGGAGCTTCTCCCAGATTCAAGCTGAGAAATTTGTGGTTGTTCAGCCGGGAGAGCAGAAGCTGCATGGAGACCTCACAGCAGTCTTCCAGTATCTGAAGGGCACCTACAAGAATGCTGGAGAGGGTCTCTTCATCTGGGACTGGGGTAATGGGTTTAAACTTCAACAGGGGAAGTTCAGATTAGATATAATCTGGAGAAGTTACAGATATAAGAAATATATCTACGTATCTTCTATATATAAGATATATAGAAGTTAAGATACAAGGAAGGAGTTCTTTACTGTGAGGGTGGTGAGGCACTAGAACAAGTTGCTCAAAGAAGTGGGAAATGCTCCATCTGTGGAAATGTAAAGGCCAGGTTGGACAGAGCCTTGGGTGAAATGGTCTAGTGGAAGGTGTCCCTGCCCTTAGCAGGGGGTTGGAACTGGGTGATCTTAAGGTCCTTTCCAATCCAAATCATCCTATGATTCTAGGGTTTCATGACCTGGTAGTCAGAAATCTGAGCTGAAAGCTGGCAGCAGTCTGTGGCTGGCAGCCCATATCCACCAATGTTGTTCCAAACTGGAGTGAGAAAGGAAAACTTCTGCCTCCTTCAGCTGGTACTAAAACTGCTGCACCTCGGTGGAAGATGGGGCTTCAACCTTTGTGTGGGACTTTTAAGACTCATTCAGTGTGATACCTGCTATACGAGGCTCCCGGTTTGTGCAATTTAAATTCCAGTTACTCTTAACTACCATGGTGGAGTGTTGGAAACAATGAAACTAAGAAACTGAGAAACCCTGAGTAGGTATCAGCCTCCAACTGTTACGGGTTTCACCTTTGATTTCAGACTTCCCCTAAGCACTCACCTTCTCAATGCAGATGTGTTACGGGTGGTTCCTCCCTGTCACTGCTGTGTCTGGGGTCGATGCCTCTGGGTGAGGGGACAGAGCATTCAACTGAGCCATGCCCCTGCAGGGAGTCTCTGCATAACTCCACAGCCCTGGGCTGCAGTGCTTGGGCTCTTTGGGCTGCACCAGGTCAGGATGAGGGATGGTGGAGCTGCCTGAATCTTGTGAGAAAGTAGCAGGTGTGTCTGAGCAGACAGACTTAAAGAGAGGTAAAAATGTTGGTCTACTAAGAGTTGTAGCAGGGGCACAGTCACTTGGACTGAGGTCAAATGTAATGTCTTTTAAACAGCAGAGTGCTTGATTATTTAGCTGGGCATATTCAAAGTTCATCTTGCTTCTGGTGACCTTGTCTAGGATTTTTGCTCTACTTTTCTGATCTTCAGAGTAAATTTGCTCCCCGTTTTGCTTCAAATGATACAGACTGCCAGATTGGGAACTTGTCTCATAGTTGTATTGGTTTGTGCTAGGAATACTGGAGTATTCTGGATTTTGGGCAATGCAGTTGCGTTCATTTTGCAGCAGTAACTTGTTTTTGTACTGAGATATCTTACGAATGATATTGTTCATTTCATTCCCAATGCATTTGTCTTCCAGGTGCTTGTTTTCATAGCTGATTTTAAATGATGCCACTTGTGTTACACAGTGCTCTAAAAGCTGCACTATGTTAGGGCTGCTCTCTGTTGCTGTGGGGCTAATGTAACTCTGAAAGTGTCTGAGAGTCAGAGGCTGCAGCGGTTTGTCACAGGAAATAGAGACAGAGTGATACATTGGTTTATTTCTGTCCTCCCTCTCAAGGGGTTCTAGTAGTGAGGTCGCAGCAGTCTTGTAGGAGTAACACGATTCTACTTCGTTATTGTCATCTAACAGAGGGTTTTCAGAGCTCTGAGAGCCACTCTCTCTGCTCAGCTTTTCTGGCAGTGGGGTTTTATCTCTGGATGTCTCACATCCGTCTGTAATTGTCATCTTCTCATTCTCAGTTGATGTCTGCAGATTGTCTCTGTTACCCAGTGACTGTGGTGCGTAGTTTGGTGCTCTGGTAATTTCCACATTCCCAGGCACTGTAGGTGAATCCTTGTGGCTATTCCCTTCCCTTCCTTGGAAATCCAGATTAGATGTGTTCGGACAAGAGTCTAGGCTGTGGTCTCTTTCAGCAATGTTTTCTGAGGAAGCCTGGGTTGTGTGCTTGCTTTCATCCAAGGGCACACATAGGTTAAATGCATTGGATTCTTGTTTGCTTGGTTTCTCCTGCTGAGCTTCTGTGCTCACTTTCTGCTCTGGACTGGGGCTGGTTGGGATTGGTGAATCATTAGACTTTTCTGGCTGTGAGTGAGCACTCTGAGGAGAGTCAGGGGAGGAAGCGAGTCCTGCATGTTTACGCAGCCAGTTTATTATCCCCATGGTCAGGGAAAGCTCAGTATCACAGAGCTTTAGCAAACACTCTTTGCCTTTCCATGTGCTGTGGAAAAAACCCTGGCTGATAATGTCTAGAGCCGGTTGGGAAGCCATGTTCTCCTCAGCTCCAACATGAAAGCTGTAAATGGACAAAGGTATTTCAATGGCTTGTTCTGAAAAGCTTTCAGATGCACACAGGTCATCGTCTAAGACTGAGTTTATTTTTACTTCATTTGGGTCATAGAAGAGCTCATAAAGGGCATCTCCACTGTAGCTGTCTCTTGGAAATCTACTTGGGACCCCAGGCGTCTGAGCTTCCTTCGTTTCATCATCTTGTCCAGGAGAGAATGAATCATAGTAGCCCTCATCACTTGTGGATATGGATTCCTGGTTGTCGCTTTTTGGCGTTCCTGTTTCTGTGGAGCTCTCTTTGGAATTGTCACCGTCTTCATCAGGCGACACTTGAGGGATTGTCACAGATGCAGCAGCCTGGCTTCTAGCCGTTTCCATGTCAGGACCAGGTACCTTCCGTACCTTCTTATCAAACAGAGCACTCTGATGTAGCCTCACTGATTTGTTGATGTTATCCCAGAATTTTGCAAATTCAGCCGTCTCACTCTGGCCAGGAGAGGCCAGCTGCTCCACCCCACCTTGGAAAGAGCCCATTACAGGGTTGTCTTTGTGCTTGCTTCGCCTCAGCAGAACTTCCTTGCTGTTCTCCAGCTCCAGGTGAGCAGAGCTCTCATCAGCAAAGATTTCCCCACAGCCGGTGAGGGAGTCAAAGCTCTTCAGAGAGGCAACATCTTCACACAGGGTGTTGCAGCAGTCATAGGAAGAGTCAGACTGTACCTCACTGTCTGAGCAGTCTTGGGACAAGCAGTCAGCTGCAAAGCTTTCTCCAGACTTGAAAAGGTAATTCGCAAGGCTCCCAGACAACTCACTCTTGCTGGCTGGAGAAGACAGATTCTTGTCCTTCTCCACCAGGAACGTGAGGCTGTCTGGTTTGTTTTTTCTTATATGGAATATATCTCTGAGCCCTTTCTTAGATCTCTTGAGGGAAATCCTCTTTCTGGGAATGGTTTTTGCGACAGCTGGTACAAAAGGCATCTGTGGCACAAAGTTCCTGTAATCGATCATCTGGCTGCTGCATGCAGACTGGCTGGGACTGACCACACACTCTTTCTTACTGCTGGAGCTGGACATCCCTGAAAAGCTGATGCTGTTCACAAGCCGGCCTTTACCCTTTCCAGAAAAACCTTCCTCACAAGCCCTACTGCTGGAGCTGCAGTGCTCTGTTTTGTCTGCCTCAGCAACACAGTCATGGGTTTTACTCTTCCTTACAAGTTTGTAGGAGGACCCAGATGATTTTTCCAGGCTGTGGTCACCAGCTCCATTCCTTGTTGCTCTGGTAGAAAACCTGTAGTTCTTGTGTGTGGCCAAACATGCCAGCTGGACTTCAGCTACACTTTGGTTTCCCTCCAGAGCTGCTGTTTTGTCTTTGCTTATAGGAACTGGGAGCACTGGTGGCCCTTTCTCATGTTGCACACTGGATTTTATGAAGGTCTTTCCCCTCTTGAGCTCCATCCTGCTTCTTCACATCTGTTTCTGTAACAAAAGCAGCAGCAGAAAAATATTGTGAGGTTGGTGAAAAAGCACTTGTAAACTTCAAAAACAACTGGACAACAAAGTGATGGGTATTAAACATTCATTAATAGAATGGGCTTGTCACCAGAAATTTCCATCACTGAGTCATGGCATTCCATGAGAAACTGGAGGTACATTGATAATGGTTGGAAGATCCTTTCCTGCCTTGTATCAGCTGCAATATTGAGTAAGTCAATGAAGTTACATAAAGAAGAGGGTATGCATTATGGGTTGGTCCTGAGGCTCAGAGAACATTTTGTCTGTTAGAAATGAGGGGGTCTGGGGTTTAGGGTTATAATTTCAATGGGGCTTTTAACCAGATAGATGTCCTGTTCCAAAAGTAGAAGAGGCATTAATAAAAAGCAATGCCTGAGGAACTCAAACATGCAAGTGCGTGTGCATCAGGGAGGCAGCAGTTCATAAATCACAGAATCATAAAATAGTTAGGGTTGGAAAGGACCTTAAGATCATCAAGTTCCAACTGCCCTGCCATGGGCAGGGAC